GAATTTTCAAAGTTTATTTGTGCACATTTTGCAAGACCTTTAGCATGTCTGATTTGTGTAGTTTTACTTGATTCATCATGTAGTTTTAATGCCCATAGTTTGCTTTTGCGATTTTTATCAATACATTTTAATTGAAGTCCATAGAGATGAACTCCAGAAACTGCAGTTTTCTTATTTGAAGTTATTATCTGATAAAATAATTACATATTAAATCATTTTCTTTGCGAGCTTATACAAAAAATAAAAATATAATTGAATTAAAACTTACATTATGTAATTCAACGGAAACATCAAATGTAGATTGAACTGAAACAACTTGGTGCTGAAAATTATTTCCAAAACAAATTAAGTAATGTGGATTACCTTCTATATAATATATGGAACATTGAATAGTTTGACAGTTATTAGACCGGCCCCAGGTAGTTTCAATAATATAATTGTCAGGAACAGGAAAATAATTAGGTGCTTCTGTAAACTTCAATTGCGCAACTGGTGGGTAGACACCTTCTTGAATAACAGTATAGTTAAATTTCCGGTCACCATAATATATTATTTCAGGTGAAGCAGGATAGTTTTCCTGCTCATAAGGTCTTTGCTTAGAATTTGACATTGAAATACAGTAAAACGCGTAAAATAAAAAAGTTGACATTAAAAAATTGTGCAACAGATCGCTTTAGTACTATGAATAACGGAAAATCTGCATAGTAACTTTTGGTGACGCTAAATGTGTCAGATGATTGACCATCATTATTATTGGCTATAAAAATTTGGGGTTATCTCAAAAATTTAGGGTTACGGTGTAGATTAGCGCATATGGATTCCCCTATATAATAACCTACTGCCGAGTAACCCGGCTACCCGACAACTCGACAATCAAATTTCTCAAGTGTCCCGTATATTTTGAAATTTGCTGTAACTGGAATTGGATTAGCCGATCGGAATTTGCACATGCGTCAAAAACATCAAGTCTTATTATTCAAATTTTCTTAATAATTCTGCCTGAAATTAAATAATCTGCAAGAATTGCCTTTTGGGTCATCATAACATTATCCAGGTTCCGGGATATTTTTAACCCGGATATTTATCCCGCGATATCCGAAAAAATAATTATCCGGTTGAATCGAAACACTACATCTGTGCGACGTTCCTTAAATTACATAAGGGTGCATGAAACGATTGAAACGAATACTCTCATAATAACTTTCGATGAAACTTTTATAATAAATTACAACGAATCAATTATTAAAGAAAAATGTCAATTAAAAATTCGTATGCTGATATTAACTGGTTAGAAAATTTCGTTACTAAAGAATGTATCACATGTTATGAGTATTCGGACTTCAAAAATGTACAACAAATAGGAAAAGGTTCTTTTGGAAATGTCGTGCGTGTTAATTGGAAAACCACTAACCATTCATTCGCTTTGAAGTCTTTTGATAATGGTGAAATAACTCTTAAGGAAGTTGTCAATGAGGTATCGTATGAGAATAATTTAATTATTTTAATAATTATAAATTATGAAAATTAAAATAATGTTACTGTATGTATATAAATACTCAAGTTAAAATTACATCGGAGCGTTGATCTTCATAAGAATATTATACGAATATTCGGAATTACAAGAGAAGAAACTTGTAAGTATTAGATAAGATCTTTTAAAAATAATTATTTATTATTTATAATTTTTTTTTTTATCACTCAAGATGAAGTTCATTCAATAAGATATTCATTCGTTTTGGAATACGCTGATAATGGTACACTTAATGATTATTTATCTAAGCATTTTAATGAACTTGATTGGAGCGACAAAAATCAATTAGCATTACAATTGGCAAGTGCTGTAGCGTTTATACACGATTGTAACATAATTCACCGTGATTTGGTAATGTATAATTTATCTAATTTTCAAAATTTGAATTATCAGTTATAGTTTAAATAAATTAACCATAATTTTATTTAAAGCATGCAAATAATATACTTATACTTCAGAAAAATATTAAATTAGCAGACTTTGGTTTATCAAAAAAAATCGACGAAAAATCAAATAATACATCAAAAATCTTTGGTGTAATTCCTTTTATAGATCCAAGAAGTCTGGATAATCGAAATTATAAATTAAATAAAAAATCTGACGTATATAGTATTGGAGTTTTGATGTGGCAAATTTCAAGTGGATATAAACCTTTTTATGATGTTGGTTATGATGGAAGATTGATATTGGATATATTAAATGGAAAGAGAGAAGAAATTATTGATGGAACTTACGTTGAATATAGTAATTTATATAGAAGTAAGTATGATTGAAATGTTTGCGTTATTTTTTGAATGTTAATTTTGTAATCTTTATTGTGTCTGTTTTTTTTTGGAATAGAATGTTGGGAAGATAATCCAAGTGAACGTCCAGATATACAAAAAGTTGTATCAACTCTTAAATCAATAATTTCTCATCAACAAAATAATTCAAACATTGAGATTACCGCAAATGAAATAAATAAAAATTATACGATTGGAAATCATCAAATGGATCCGAAATCTAATGATGAAATGTTAGATATAAATAAAAGTCTAGTAATATCAGATTTACAAAATCACAATTCTGTTCAATCATGTACATCATATCAAGAAATGGATATAAATAAGAGCCTATCAAGTTCACAATATAAAACTTCTATTCATTATAGTTTATCAAATATATCAAACCGAATAACTTCATTAAATGTATCAATTGACGATAATAATGACAATATTATAGATAATATTAATAATAAAGTTGCTGATGAATTAATTAAATATGTAATAAAAAATCATAATAGAGGTATTACTTTCGACCAAATTAAACAATTTATTAACCAACAAATATTGGAACTAGATCATGCAATAGAAAAACTCATAAAATGGGTATTAAAAAATCAGACTAAATCACAGTATATTTATTTTCTTGGATTATTTTATTATTATAATATTGGTGTAGAAGAAGATAGTGTTAAAGCTTTCAAATTATTTTTGAAAGCATCTGAAGATAATTTTTCAATAGCTCAAGTTTATTTAGCTAAATGCTATAATGATGGATATGGAACTGGATGTAATAAAAAGTTGGCATTCAATTGGTACAAAAAATCTGTAGAAAATGGAAGCATTATTGGACAATTTTATCTAGGATATTGTTATGAATTAGGTATTGGAACTCATAATGATGAAAAAATGTCAGTCTATTGGTATAAAAAAGCTGCTAATAATAGAAATACAATAGCAAAATTTTATCTTGCAGAATGTTATAGATTAGGGAAAGGAGTTGAAAAAAATGAAACTAAAGCATTTAAATATTATGAAGAATTAGCAAAAAAAGAAGTTGCAGATGCACAATTTCAACTTGGAAATTGTTTTTATTATGGAATTGGAATTGAATTGGATAAGGAACAAGCTTTATATTGGTACAGAAAATCAACAATAAATGGAAATATAGCTGCTGAATATATTCTTAAAAAATACTATAATGAAAAAATAAAAAATAAAGCAAGGAATAAAAAAATAATTAAATTTAAGGAAGTAAATCAACTTGGATTATATTATATTGGAAAAATATTAATAAAAACGAATTATGAAAAATCATTTTATTATTTTCAAAAATCAGCAGAAAATGGATATAAAGTTGCACAACATGATTTGGGTAAATGTTACAGAGATGGTACAGGTGTAAGAAAAGATGAAAGAAAAGCTTTTGAATTATTTAAAAAATCAGCAGAACAAGGATATATTGAAGCAAAATTTCGATTTGGTCATTGTTATGATTTAGGAATTGGAACTGAAATTAATAAAGTAAAAGCATTTGAATTATATAAAGTAGCTGGTGCAAAAGGAAATGATGATGCACAGTTTAATTTAGGTTTATTGTATCAATTAGGAGAAGGAGTTGATAAAGATGAAAAAAAAGCGTTTGAGTTGATTAAGAAATTAGTTAAAAAAGGATATTTAAAAGCTCAATTTGCACTTGGATATTATTATTCAAATGGAATTGGAACTGAAATTAATAAAGTAAAAGCATTTGAATTATATAAAGTAGCTGCTGAAAAAGGAAATAATGATGCACAATTTAGTTTAAGTGTATTATATCAGTCAGGAGAAGGAGTTAATAAAGACGAGAAAATGGCATTTGAATTAATTAAAAAATTAGCTGAAAAAGAATATTTAAAAGCTCAATCTGAGCTTGGATATTATTATTCAAATGGAATTGGAACTGAAATTAATAAAGTAAAAGCATTTGAATTATATAAAATAGCTGCAGAAAAAGGAGATGATGATGCACAATTTAATTTAAGTTTATTATATCAATTAGGAGAAGGAGTTAATAAAGATGAGAAAATGGCATTTGAATTAATTAAAAAATTAGCCGAAAAAGAATACTTGAATGCACAATTTGCACTTGGATATTTTTATAGTAAAGGAATTGGAACTGATATTAATAAAGGACAAGCCTTTGAATTATATAAAATAGTTGCAGAAAAAGGAGTCAATTATGCACAATATAATTTAGGTTTATTATATCAATCAGGAGAAGGAATTGACAAAGATGAAAAAAAAGCATTTGAGCTAATTAAAAAATTAGCTGAAAAAGATTACTTAAAAGCCCAATCTAAACTTGGATATTATTATGAAAAAGGAATCGGAACTGATATTAATATGGAACAAGCATTTAAATTATATACAATTGCTGCAGAAAAAGGATGTGATGATGCAAAACATAATTTAAGCTTATTATATCAAACATAGAAAGAGATGATAAAGATGAAAAAAAAAAGCATTTGAATTAATTGAAAAATTAGCTGAAAAAGGATACTTAGATGCTTAGTTTATATTTAGGCATTATTGTAAAATGGGTTATACAAAGGGGACGCATTTAATTTATCGACAAATTGCTTCACTGACAAATGATTTGCTAACAAGCTTTTGTTAGCAGAATCTTCCTACTGACATTTACAGTATTCATAATTAATTAAATGTATTTTTATTTTTATTTTTTTTTAAAAAACAGTATTTTTATGTAATTATTAAGATATGTACTATATCTGCAAAATTTTTTATTTATTACTACATAACATATTTTTTTTTTGACTTAGATCGGTTTTCAATTTTGTTAACTTTGTCAAAATACAGTACATGAAATAAAATAAATACAGGAAAACCAGCTTTTAATGTTAATGGATAATATTTACTATGTCTACTTACTTTTTTATTTCAGCTAATAATAATAAAATATTACTGTCGGCGAAATGGCTGTCAATAAAATATTTGAAGGAGAAGGGATCCTATAAGTGAAACATATGTCGGTGAAGTGATCGTTGGCAAAGTAGTTTTTGGTAGGATGATTATTACAATTAGAGGCTCTAAAAAAAAGGAAATAGCACAATTCTTAAGAAGAAAGCAATATAAGTGAATGACAAGTAGTTATATTAGTTTGTAAATTTGTATAAAAGATTTTTGCAAAATTTTATTTATTTATTGTTATAAAAAATGACAAGTTTAATTCTCTAATTGATTATTATTCTATGTAGTTTTCAAAACGGCACATATATATATTAACATAATTTTTTTTCCAGTTATAAAGTAATTACCCAAATGCTGAAAATATTATGCAAAATGGCAAGTTCATTAAACAAGAAAAGTAAATATTTAAAAATAGTATAATAATTATCTTTTTCCTATCTCAATAAAGAAAAAAAAATAATTCAGTTGCGATTGCTTATAAACTTTAATAATCTTAATTTTGCAAGAAAAATGGGAAGTATTTTTTTTTATGAATAAATTAATTTAGGGTTGAAATTTGTTGTAAGTACAATACACAGTGAAATTCGATAAACTGGATCTATCGGTTCCACTAAAAATATCTGGTTTATCAGAATATCTGGTATAGCGAAAAAATTTTGATATATTGAAAATCTATTAGGCGACATAAAGTTAAAAATTTGGTTCTCATATCCCGGCCGGGTCACCAGAGTGGGAATCTTAAATTTTTATTTTTTTTGTTAACCAATTAAATTGCTCTAAACTATGTCACATGATAAATTAAATTTGTATGCATATCTGATATATCGTAATACTATCTGCTATGTAAAAAAATTAAAAAAAAAACTCTTTCCCCTTTTTTTCTATTTTGTTAGTTTTCTGCAGTAATTTTGCATTAATTTTATTTTTTAGTTTCTATTTGAAACACCTAAAGGGAAGAGGCCCTGAAGGGCACCTTGGGCATAAGACGAGGTTTTATTGTTCTCATTACACCTATATTCAAAGGGTTGGTTATGTCTTATTTTCCAAGAGCCGATGACTTTGCTTCAGCACTCGGATATGACCATACACCTGCTGGTCCTGATGACTTTATTTTCAACTACGATACTACACCAACAGTATCTCATACTGAAGATACCTTGTTAGATACTCTCTCACTTCATAATGACTTTGAAGATTATAGGTCCTTTCTTTCGCCTGGAAAAAATTATATTTTTTCTACGAAATATGAAAAGTTTTACATGACTCCACATCATAGAGCCAGTTTCAACAAGATTTACAATTTTAGGCGTTCAAAAAGTTTTTTTTTTGAGCTGGTTGATCAATTACCAAACACCAATCAACTTCAATTGAAGATTTACACAAATGATTATCATATGTCCTCTACCCCGATTAATCACAATTTTACGAGCCAACTCCTGAATTTTAAATTTCAAATATCGAAACAGCTCACGCACTTTTTTTCAACACAAAAAGTTATTTCTCGACGATTACAAGAAAAATTTTTTACTTATATTCATAAAAAATTATTGGAGCTTTGGATTTTATAATATCACGTGCCCAAAAAGAAGAAAAAAATAATCACATGACTAAAACTTTTTTCAATTTTTCGTATAAGAAATATAGATTTTATTTCGGTATTTATATCCCATGTAATCACAGTGAAACAGTGAATCTGTTGACTAATACCGTTGCGACCTGTACCATTTAGGCTCCTTTTGTTATGTCTAATCATTGTCACGCCTGTATTATTCATCACAAACACCTAGTCCTGTATTTTGTCTCAAAAGATCACAAAATTCCTGACGTCAGTTATTGCAAAACTTTTAAAGATTTTCACGCATCCCACCTCTATAACAGATGGGCTAAGAAGAAGAAATGTCACAACTTCTCGAACCAACTTGAAATTTCTTTTACCACATCGTGCCATGCGTATGATACAAATGTTGTCGCTAAAAAAGGACTTGATTTTATTTACGGTAAAAAATATGGGAATCTTTAATTTACCTCCAGTTAATCTCCAAAAGTCAAGAAAAGACAAGAAGCATGCTTTAATGCTTTGGTTAGACATACCTTTCACAACGCTAAGTTGGATAATAATGCGTTGATAGATGATAAACTCTGAGCTGCACGACGTCACAAATTATTGTTTCAAGAAAATCAAGGTGAATACCGGAAAGACTTATGCAACCTAGTAATGGAAGTCACTGACGCTCATCATAATTATGAGCTAAAATTACTCAAACTTTCAATTGAAGTCACACCTAAAGTGCCGCCAGTATCTGGACATCTACTTAAGCGTGAATATAAAAAGAAAAGAGAAGAAAGGAAAAAGAAATAGCACTTGCACAAAAAAAGCGTGAAGATAACAAAATATTAGAAAATTTACGATCTTGGGTCACGCGTTATGAAGACGCTTTCATCATCAGATACTATAGGGATGAAATCGGTTTGGCGTACCAGCTTTGCACCATCATGGACGATAGACCGCTTAAACGACATGCCAACGATAATGGCAATTTAGATACGCATTATGGTCACCATAAAGATAAAAAGGTCTGTATATTATCCGCTTTGAAGGATTTGGAAAATAGTTCATCTTTTCGTACTATTTAAGTACTTGTTAGTTTTTTATATATAGATTTATATATAATATATATTAGTTTCTATTTGTACATGTTTATTAGCATTTTAGTTCTTTTTTTTTACGTTAAACTTTTAACAACTTAAAATAGTGTAAACCATTCCACCTCTTACAGTATTTACAGGTGGCAGCCCTTGGGTTGAAAGAAAAATACGGATTAGTTCTTGTCATTTTAATTGACTTTTCTTTGGTTCCCGTTCTTCTTTCAGTAGTAAAGGGGATCAGGCTGGTTCCAACGTTTTAAAGAAGTTCGGGTCCATCCTGATGATGGATGATAGCTAGAAGTAGGATAACTCATGTTTGGTATATGTCCTGTTTAATAGTCTGTTTGACTTCACATAAAATAAATAAAATATCTGCTATGTAAATGCCTAACATTTAACGAACAATAAAAAAAAAATTTTTTAAAAAACTACAATAAAACATGAGAAATAAACTTGTAATTAACTTGATATATAAAATCTGTCTGACTTTTTATTGAATTGTTATATTAATATAAATGTTACATATGAAATCTTCTGTATTACATGATCGGATGAAAAAAATTTTATTCTAAAAAAAAAATAAAAGGCCATGCAGCCAAGTTAAATTGAAGCAAATTTTGATATGAGAACCAATTTTTTAACTTTATATCGCCTTGTATTGAATTTTTAAAAATTTTTCATGCTACTAATATACGCTATATTTTAATTTTTTCATCTTAGTTTTAAGTCAGAGGTCATGAAAATGAATATAAAATATTTATAATTGAATATATAAGTAATATAACCACCAGAATTAAGATTCTGGCCTTTACCACATCACGTTACTTAAATTTTATTGGTCAATTATCACGTGATATGGTTTATCGAATTTCACTATGTATTTGTCATGATTTTTTTTATTGGAATCTTATTGGTTCTTAAAGAAATGAACATTACGCTCGATATCAGATGTCAGCACAACATTAATTGTTTGAGTAATTTGGTAATAAATAATAGAATATTTTTTTGAGATTTTTTATGTACACATAGTATTAAGTCTAATTTCATAAAAAATCCGATAAAAAATAATGACGATCATTAATAATACAAAGATTTATTTGGATTGAGTACCATTACTGTTTTATAGATATTAATAATAGAGAAAATTTATTCATCGCACGTGCGATGACATCGCTACCCCCCATTTTATTTATCACGTGATAAATCCAATTAAAATATAGCACGATTATTGTGTTACAATAAATATAAACAATTTTATAGCTTCGTCGATAGTTTTTTTTTCTAACACTCTTTTTAAATAAAAAAAACAACCTGTTTTTTTGCTTAAAAACGCGTTAAAGTTGCTTCTTAACATTTAAAAATACTTTTATGTACTAGTAAAGTAGCTCAAAAACTTTAATTGTTCAATTATCATAAAGAAATTGGGTTACACGGCTCAAGCAGTGATTCGTGAAAAATGGAAAATGATAACACTCCACAGGTTAGTCAATTGCGCACATTTTTTTTTTGTGAAATACTACTGAAATACTATTGAAAGTGCTTAAAAAAAATTAATTTGGGGTAAACGGCATATGGTATAGAGTTTTAATAGAGTTAATTTCTTAACAATTAACATCAATAGCATTATTTATTAGTTAGATAGCGTTAAATGTACATTATTTATTAGTTAGGTGACGTTAAATAGCGTTAGATATATATTAATTAACGTCACAAAGCATTATATTATTGCGCATTAATTTATTGGTATTAAATAGCATTACTTTAATGTGCTTAACAGCTAACTTATTTATTAATCTATTAAATAGCAAGAAATTGAAACTGAAGTTGAAATTCCCGTAGAAATTATTCTTGGTTCAGAATTAGAAAGTCTTGACTCTACAAATTATCCTTCATTAACACATCCTATAGAATTATCTGTTAATTCAAAATTTAGTTCGTGGGAAATTGCTGAACATTATCTAAAGGAATATGGAAGGCAAAAGGGATTTGTAGTTAATAAATACCGAGTTGAATATATTCAATTATCAAACTCAACTGTTCAAATTCCCAGAAGAAGAACATTTGCTTGTGAATATGCTGGAAAGTACAAACCTAACTATAAGTCTAAGCAAATTGATCAACAACGTAATAAAGGGTCAAAAAAAACTGATTGTAAATGGCGGGTTCACTTGAGTAAAACTATAAATAATAATTTCATTCATGTAACGTCTATCCATCTTGAACACAACCACAAAATACTTGCTGATAATACACAATTTGCTACAACATTCCGAAAATTTAATCAATCTATAATGAATGAAATTGAACATGCAGTTATACATGGACGTTGTGATGCATATACTATAAGAAATCTATTACAACCATTATTTCCTGACCAGCTTTTTCTTACACAAGATCTTTCAAATGCAATTCAAAAAATTAAACGTGAAAAAAAAATAGCTAGAACAGATGCTTCTCATTTGTTAAAATTTCTCCTTGAAAGACAAAAAGAAGAACCTATGATGTTTGTTCAACCTTTAATAAATGCGGATAGTGATAGACTGTGTGGTATATTTTGGATAACGGAAAATCAAATTATTTTGTGGACGCGTTATTCAGATGTTATTTTACACAATAATACCTCTAGAACTAATAGATATAACTGTCCATTATCTCTATTTATACTTGTTGATAATGATGGTAAATCACGTTTAGGAGCACAAGCTTTTTTAAATGATGAAACTCAGGAAAGTTATGAGTGGATTTTACAACAAACGCTAAATGCAACAGGAATTGAACCAAAAGTTATAATCACTGATATGGATCCTGCAATGGATGTGGCATGTCAAACTACGTACAAAAATGCGTATCACATACATTGCATTTGGCATATGACCAAAAATTTACCTAAACGTCTCAAAAATAAACTTGGTGCTGCAGATTTTAAGATATTTTTTCATGATTTTTGGAAAACTCGCAATTCACTATGTGCAGAGGTTTTTGAACAACGATTTCAAGCTTTATTAAATAACTTTCCCAGTGGCAGTGATTATTTACATGACCCAATATATTCAACACGCCATTCATGGGCACGAGCATTTACAAACAGAATATTTACAGCTAGTATACAGTCAACACAGCGTGTGGAGTCAATAAATGCCATTATTCATAAAGTTGTTAATTCTAGCTCTACAATGGCAGAAGTAGCTGAGGCATTAGATTCTCGAATGCAAAAAGAAGAAATAAACAAGAATTTTATAGCATGGAAATACAAATCAACAATATATCATCAGCCATTTGTTGTGGAAAATTTTTTTAGTAACGTTAATAATATAGTTCAAAAATATTTTTCACCAAGAATTGTTGGGGAAATACATAAACAAATGTGCGAATCAATAATTTAAAAATGTGAAAAACTAGATATTAAAGATGCATTTGAGTTTATTGAGGATCAACTGGTGAGTAAAAAATTAAAATTATAGTAGAATGATATAATAAATGTTTAACTAGTACTATTATGTATATATTTTTAGGATCAAAATGAAATTCCCGAAAATCAAGAAAGCCAAGGAACGTCAAATGATCAAGAAGAAACCAATAATATTGAAGATTATTACGATTTTCGCCAGACATACTTAAAATCATTGTTAAATTCAGTACCAAAAGAAATGATTAAAGAAGTATGGCGTATCATTCCATATATGGTGCCAAGTTCATATCAGCATATTATTATTCTTAACGATGGAACCCATTTATGTACATGCTTGTTATTGGTTTCATATGGAATTATTTGTCGTCATTATTTTAAATTAATGATTGAAAATCCAAACGCATTATTCCATATAATGCTAATGCCAACAAGATGGCTTCTGGATGACGCTTGGAATCACATTGACTCTATTTTTAATGAAGCTTTTATCAGAACATCATCTAAAAATTTAAAGCCAATTCATGATGATAATATTGATCAAAGGATTTATCTTAATCCTAGGCATATTAATCACGTTCAAGAAGTAGAAATTAGTTATTATACACAAAAAAAAGTAGATTATGGTCGAATTATGGGACATTTTAAGAAAGCACTAAACTATTCATTTGATAATAACGATCAAAAAAATTTAGATGATATTATACTAGCTTACATTGCGGAAAAAGAAACTATTATGACTCAATTAGAAAGGGGAAATGTTCTTAAAGACAATAATACAAATAATCAATTAAAGTTGTCTGATGGTCATACATATGATGTAGATGATATTGGAAATCCATTAAAACGTCAAGGAAAAGGGAGACCTGCTACTAAGCGATTAAAAGCTTGTAATGAACAAAAAAATAAGGCGAGTACGACACAAAAATCACAAAAAGAGAATGTACTATATGAAGAAAATATTGAAAATTCAAATGGGCGTAAATGTGGTTTGTGTCATAAAATGGGTCATTATGCTCCCAAGTGTCCCAATAAGAAAAACGTATAATATTTTAACAATTAAATAAAGTAATAATTTTTACTGTGTATAAATAATAATTTTTTAGTACATGTAAGCTAATTTATTAAGAGTTGAACAATATACAAATACAATTCTGAATTTCTAATATTTAAACTAACCTATAAAGGATATAATCCCACAAAAATCCTTATCATAAAACACTATTCATACCCTTCGTTGATTTATAAAATAGTGTGTTGAATTTCATTTTGTTTATTTCTGTATAAGCAAGGCTGTACGTCTAATCTTTACATTATGTTAATATCTAAATAAAAATTGGGCATTAGTTTGCGAGTTCAGAATTTCATTGCAAATGCACAACCACGACTAAAATATTCATACTTGTTTGTATAAATACCTCTTTCTATACTCCTCTTTCAAACACTTCGGATGCAATAAAAGGTGGCTTATCTATTATATGTGGTCGCACAGATCTGTTGTGCATTTATTCCAAAATAAATCTCAAAAATATCAAGTGTTTCCTGATGAAAAGTTTTGCCATTATCATATAAAAGAAAAGCAAAAACTAATTCTTTAAATTGAAGTATAAAAACGTATATACTTTTAATAAAAAAAAAGAATTTGTTTGATTGCTACTTGATTAAACTAATGAATTATATAAGAAAAATGATTAAAATCCAAGTTAATTTAAGTTATTAAAATTGATGAATAAAGAGAAATTTTACCTTCTTAAGCCACTGAAAAACACATCTAGATTCTTTAAAAGCAAAATCCATTAAAGATATTTGACAGAATTGCGTATCTTAGGAAATTCTTGCTATTTAATAGATTAATAAATAAGTTAGCTGTTGAGCACAATAAAGTAATACTATTTAACACCAATAAACTAATGCGCAATAATATAATGCTTTGTGACGTTAATTAATATACATCTAACGCTATTTAACGTCACCTAACTAATAAATAATGTACATTTAACGCTATCTAACATCACCTAACTAATAAATAATGCTATTGACGTTAATTGTTAAGAAATTAACGCTATTAAAACTCAAAATTAATTTTTTTTAAGCACTTTCAATAGTATTTCAGTAGTATTTCACAAAAAAAAAATGTGCGCAATTGACTAACCTGTGGAGTGTTATCATTTTCCATGTTTCACGAATCACTGCTTGAGCCGTGTAACCCAATTTCTTTATGATAATTGAACAATTAAAGTTTTTGAGCTACTTTACTAGTACATAAAAGTATTTTTAAATGTTAAGAAGCAACTTTAACGCGTTTTTAAGCAAAAAAACAGGTTGTTTTTTTTATTTAAAAAGAGTGTTAGAAAAAAAAACTATCGACGAAGCTATAAAATTGTTTATATTTATTGTAACACAATAATCGTGCTATATTTTAATTGGATTTATCACGTGATAAATAAAATGGGGGGTAGCGATGTCATCGCACGTGCGATGAATAAATTTTCTCTTAATAATATATCATTTTTATTTTGATTTCTAATTTATTTTGAACCATGTGTTAATTTAATAACAGTTATGATTTATTATATAGTATTTCTTAATTTATCATATAGTGTATTCTACTTGTCAAAAATATGAAGCTTTTATTATTTATTTATTTTTTTTTTTCTAATGAAAAAGAATATGAATGAATATCAGATAAACTTTAATGTCCATTAATAAAAGTTATTGTGCAATTATAATTTTTTAAATTGTAACATACTACATAATGTTATTATTAAAATTTATAACTTGATTCTCAACCCATTAACTTCATCAGGAAATTTTTTTATATGTAAAAAATATGCAATATTTTGTGCATGAAAAAACTGATTTGCACACCCTGAAAATGCACATTAATGCATATTTAATATATATAATGTATTTTCCACACAATATATTGTAAAAAAATTTGTTAATTTTTATATAAATTTGTACAAAGAATTATACATATAATATTGTTAGTTATATTGCATAAATTTCGAGAAATTTAACTATTTGTGCAATATTGAATACCCTGAAAATTTTGTGATGTTGTTAAACAAAATCATATACAAATTATGAAATGTATTTTGTACATGTTTATTTACATCAGCATAGCGGACATGCTCATATCACCTTGCCGATCATTTGCTGATCACTAATTCCGGATTTTAAAAACTTATTGCAAAATCACAAATATTTTTCAAATTATGTGGCAAAAAAATAATGGAAATCTAAGTAAAAACACTAAATTATCATATGACTTTAATTATGTAATTATTAGACAATTTTTAATAATATCATAAAAATATTATTTGTATATGGTAATTCACTAATTATTGCCGATCATCAGACAAAAATTGAAATGCGAAGATGAATATGTGAGTGCGAAACTTAAGAATTTGCACAAATATTCTTTATATTATGTAGAATATATAAAAAAAATAATGCAGTGATCTGATTCATAATGCAGGTTTTTTATTAGTAACATAATTAGTGAATAATTTCGTAAAATGAATAAATATATGCCAAATAATAATAAAATCTAATGAAATTTAATACACAATAAATTAAAACTAAATTTAAGTTATTTGTGAAATTTGAACATATTAATTATTATGTAGATTTTTTTAGCAACGGTATTTATATTATGTGATAATTGAATAAATGATCGGCAAATGATCGACAAATGATCAGTCAGTATTGTGATAAAATAGGGATGTCCGCTATGCTATTTACATCCTTAAAGTCATTAAAATTCTGAAATTATAAGCAATTTGTAGATTAAATGCTTAATAATTAAATAAATCCAGTTAAACTAGTATTTAGAATTTTACCATATGTATTCAAATACTTATATTATTAAGATTTTGGAGAAAAGTCACGCCTTTTCATATATAAAAAAAATATATATAAAATAATTAATTTATACCTAATTTCACACATAAACTCTGTGCTTCTATTAATAATATTATTATCATTATTGTTATATACGGTTAGTAAAAAGAGAAAAAATTTAGATAATATTTTCATTTATATAAAAAGTCCTGATTTACTTACTTTTATATATTACCGTATTTTACGGTATATAAGCACCCCTTTTTGCACTTGATGCCGGCCAAGATCCTCATAATTTTGGCCATAATTCTGGCCGGGTGCTTACTTTTGGGGGTGCTTACTTACCGCAAAATACGGTAATATAAAACTGAAAATCTATTAACATAAAAACCTAAGTTCGGAATTTTTTTTTAAAAAAAATGCATAGAAAACTTTTTTGATAGTAGCACTGTAGCAACATAATGAACTAATGAACAATATTACCTTAATAATGGTTATAATTAAAATAACAGGATGTATACAGACTGGAAGATAGGAGAACAAATTGAGCAAAAAAATATTTTTTTTAATTACTTGAAGAAAGTAAATATTACTAACAATGGCATTTGATTTAGGAAATTAAATATAAAAAGTTAAATTTTGATCAACTAATCCAAATTATATTTTCTAGTTTTATTTTATACATATAAATTACCTTGAACAATTCACAGTACTATTAACAATATATAAAAATTATCTTCAAACTAATCTGGTTAGGTGAATTGACTGAATCATACTGTCAATAAATTAGTCATCACATCAATTATATATTCTTTTTTGTTAACTTTGATTTCTAATTGTAATAATATGTTGAAAAAACATTTTCCAAAGATATTTCCTCTATTTAAGAAAAATGTAAAGAAAAATGGTAAAAGATAAAAAAAATTCTCTTATTATCTTTCATTTTATTTATTTTTAATATATATATATATTTATAATACATTAATCTAATAAGCAAATAGAAGTTATGAGATTACACCTGAGTTAGAAAAAATTTGGACTGAAGAAAAGAAAAAATGGGACAACTTTGCAGAGAAAAGGGCCGTAAGAATGACTTCTAAAAATTCTAAAAGAAATGTTAAAATATCAGAAGCATCAGGTAAATATTATAAGCTAGAAATATTTAAAAATTATTTATTTTTTAACTAAATATTTAAATCATTTTAGAATTAAAACCAATACCATTGAGATCATCCTCACCTAATTTCAATGAGGCACTAAGAGTGAGCATTCAATCAGCTTTAGTTAAAGATCATGTTATTCCTGAAGTTAAAGGTATAAATTATACCAAGTTATTTAAAAATTTCTAATCTTTATAATTTCAAAATTCTAATATTAATAATTAATTATGTTTAGTCACTAATTTCCCAAAAGAATATGTTCTTCCCAAAATCAATATTGGCATGCTTTTAAGTCAAGATTTTAATATTGAAAGACTTGATGATATTTTTGATAATGACACTTCAAATATAAAAAATATAAAAGATATTCAAACATTTATTAACTTACTATATAGTGCTGTACAGAACAGACTTGTATCAGGAGAAACAAACAATAACTCATTAGTAAATAATTTACTTCAAATTAGTAAATTAGATACCTTGCCCTTTAACAAAAAGTAAGTTTTTATTTTAATTTTTTTTCTAACACAATATTTTAATGTTTTACCAAAAATTTAATTTCAAAAAATCCAGAACTCGAATTCGTTCATCATGCAAACTATTTGATGGTGGTAATCTTTATGAATCATTATATCCTAAACTTCCTGAATTAATTGTAGATTATAACAAACGTAAAGCAATGATAGTTGTGGTTAGTATAACCTTATTATGTTTTAAAAATAGCATTTGATAGCTTTTAATTTTTTTTTTTTTTAATAGAATGAATATCCGTATAATTTTGATAAAAATATTTCCGAAATACGAATTGCTGCTGAAATATTCTCATGTGGTAATGAAACTAGACGTAGAACTTTTAAAAATTCAGAACAGATTATATTTGCTGTTCGCTTTATTTCTACTTATGTTACATTCTATAAGGCTGTAATTTCTACAGAATATTGGAAGGAGCTTGATAATGGCTTACCATTAGATCAGTCTATTTTAATTAAAAGATGGCCACAAAAAAATGGTTTGCGAACTGGTCTTGATATTACAGATCCAAATGAAAGACAAGAAGTGTTATTAGCATTAGCTAAAATTCGACAATTTATTTTGCAAGATGCTAGTTATAGTAGGTGATTGATTATGGTTTTTTGTAAAAGATATTAAATAATATTTTATAATTATAGGATAGTAAATTGTTCATTTTTTAAAATTGATGCTGTTATTATATATTTCATTATAAATTAAATGATATTAATAATAATTATAATTAAAGTTTATGATAATTTCAGCCGAAATTATAATTGTCTTGATAGATTAATAATTTTTAATATATTAAATATTGATATCAGAAGATAATCAAATTTTTAACAAACTATTATTTAAACTTATTTTGCAATTGCCAAAATCATTACATGATTGATTTAGTTTATAGAGATAGGTGAAAAAATTCCAAAAGGGATGATCATTATTTGTATTTATACCACATCTCATAATAATCGTTCATGATTTTCCTTATTGTCCGGAGCGTAGCGAAGGACTTTCTATTGTAGAGCACTTATAACCGTATTAACGATTTTGGATTAACCCATGAAATTTTCCTTTCGTCCATCCGCTAACGTCACCTCACTAATTACCCCTGCTTTTTTCCTTTCTTGATATGTATCACTTTTTGCTTGTTTCACGTATTTTTATATTATGCTATTTTTCGTAAACAATTTTTTTTAATAAACACGACGGACTTTAACGGTTTCCGTTTTCCTAGTTTATATTTTTATGGATGATGTTATTTAAATCTATCAATAGTTAAAAATTGCCGTGGTAAAAACGGCGTCGTGATGGTGATCTACAGCTTATAACTAACGATATTTATGTGAAGTTGTTATCTTTGAATAAAAAAAAAAAGTATTTCATAAATATGAACAAAAACAACGCGAGACTTACTTAGGCAAAACTTAGTATAATTTTATTTATTTTTATTTTAATGTCATAAATTGTCATAAAGAATTTAAATTTACTATTCAAATTTGATTTATTACGCACGTAAATGACGTAATAGAGTTATTCACCATAAATTGTATTTTGTTATATATAAACTTATAAATAATTATAAAATCATATAAATAATTTAATGCAATATAAACATAATACTGAAAATTACTACGTGTAAAATTTCAAACTTTTGAAACTTAATAGTAACAATTAACTCTTCAAACTTAATTCTCCTTATTCAATATGTCTTTCATCACCTTAGAATAAATTTGGCATTCTCGTTCTACATCTTTCCATTTTTTTTCAATTGAGTTGACAATTTTGTCTTTTTTATAACGCTTCTCTACTTCTTCTAATTTTTCGAGTTTTTTTATGAGATCATTAATTCTTAAAATTTGACTTTCCCAAAATCTTTCAATTGGGCTGATCTCTTCAATTATTAAATATAAATTTTTCGTAAATGATTTTATTTTCCTAACCAATTCGTCAACTTCAATATCTAATTCTTTTTCAAGATCTTTAATTTTCCCCTCCTTTTTACCAGCTCTGATATATTCTACAAAACTACAAAATGTGTTTATAGCAAGAGATGAACCAAAAAACGTAGCAATGCCTTCAGCGGCCGCAGCCGTAGTTGCTGCCGCGGGTCCAACTAAACATCCAATTCCAGCGATAACTGCAATTGTACCAAAAGTATAAGAACTTGCTTTGCAATTATTTTTTTCAATTTCTTCTTTTACGATTTTAATATTTGTATCTGACTCAATTAAATATGGATGTTGTTCAATAATCACAATATATTCTGATAAAAAAATTTCAATCATGGTTAATTTATTCACAATTCCAAAATTTGTAGGTTCATAATTTTTAATATCTTCAAGGATTTTGCCCATATCTTCAGTTTCATTAACATTTTTTTCTTTAGTAACTATAATATTTTTTAATTCTTTAATTAATCTATCATTTTCTTTAGATTTTATCAAAAGGTCATTTAATATTTCTAAATATTCTTCATTGGAATAACGATTATTTTTAAAACTATCCGCGAAAAACAAAATATCATTCGCATATTCTTCTAAATTTTCGCTAAATTTGGTTGAACCTTTTACGAATTTACGAAAAATTTTACGTTGTTCTTTAATTTGATGAACGGTAAATTCCATGATCATATTATTATCAAATTTAAATTCTTCACAACATCTTTTAAAATTTTCCATAACTGATCGAGTTTTTTTACCAAAATCTGTCATATTAGGTGGCGTATCATCCTGAGCATTTTCATAATTTTCGAAAGGGTCATCGTTATGAAATTCAGATTGAGATTCATCAAAATTGGTCATTTTTATAGTGAAAAAAAAAAAAAATGATACGAATTGTATTTTTTAATTGGAAAATATTCGTTAAATATCGTTAAAGTTTGAAATTCGACAATCAAATTTGTAGCAATTATTATAGCATTTTCACACAATATGTAATACAATATTCTGTTACGCTACATATGGCTCAACTTTAAATATTAGAGGCAAATCAACTTGTCAATTAAATTACTTAATAAGAGAAAGTTTACTAAAGATCATTACTGGAAATTTTGAAATTGCTCAACGTACAGTACATGGATGTTTTCAAGGCCAGAATTATATAATGATTAACCAAAAATGACATATTTACGCCATTTTACGGTGTTGCAGACATAAAAATACGATTAATAATTTTTATATGAAAATGTCAATTAAAGATTCTAATTTTGTTAGAAAATTATATTGCTAAAGAATGTATCAAATTTTATGAATATACAGACTTAAAAATGTACAAAACATAGGAAAAGGATCTTTTGGAGGTGTCGTGCGTATTAATTGGAAAACCATTGGTCATTTTTATCTAGGCATTTTAATGAGCTTGATTGGAGTGATAAAAATCAATTTACAAATTAGCGAGATCATTCACCGTGATCTAGTAATATATTCAAATTTTAATTATTAATTATATTTTAAAATATAATTTAAGAAAACCAAATCATAATTTTTATATTTTATAGCATGCAAACAATATACTTGTACCAAGTAATACATCAGACCGCCCCGATATGGTGATATGCAAAAAGTCGTATTAATTCTTAAATAAATAATTTCTCCTCGACAAAGTAATGAATAACGAATAATGATTTAGAATCCAATGATGAAATGATACATATAAATGAAGGTCAAGTATATCATATTTATCATATAAAGAAATGAAATTCGTTACAATGTTATCTTAATGAATCGTCAAGACCTTCATGAGAATTGAGGATGCTGGTTTGTCATCATTAGATTGTGTTTTTTCTTTGTATTGTTGAATTGTCAATCATGATTGCGATGCCCATGAGTTGATCTAACAGTTAGCACGCAATTTATAACAAACTAAATATAAGGGTCCATCTTATAATGCTGGTAAATTTGAAAAATCTCCATTTAAAACTCCAACAAATACTACACTTGAAATATGTGTTGGCCTACCTCTTTCGTATTATAATTTTTTATCCTTTCGATCGATAAATATTTTAAAATTTTTGATGTAAAGTCTTAAATAAAATAAATTATTTTTTACAAATTTTACAACAAATGTGAAACAAATTAAAGTGAATAAAATAAAGTATATTTAAATATAAAATTAGATTGTTTACATATATTATATATATAATTATATATAACTAAAAAATATTGATATTTAGATTACCCTCCATATAAATACATAACTTGAATTAGTCTGCGCCATGTGGTCATCGTGTGAACGTAAAATTTTTGACTAATGCTAATCCAGCCATTTCCATCATCTCAGGACATGGTTAAAAATTTTTTTTTGGTTGTTTCTTTAACGGTTAAACCGAGATAACGGTTACTTTCCTTTTACGGGTTTTGAAAACTAGATTTATTTTTTTTTCGCTCTCTCCAGTTTTTAGAAACCGTATTTTTTTCTATTTATGGATAACAAGTAGTGTCCTAAGACTAATATGTCCTAAGACATTAATTAATATGTCCTAGGATGATATAATCAACTAATTAATATGTCTTAGGATGTTATAATCAATTAATAAATGATAGAACAAAATGGTCGTCAGTTATGCATAGAACAATTAGAACATGCAGAGTCAGAAATAAATTAACAATGTTGATTAAAACTCACCAAAAGTTTATGTTTTCCGTTTAATAAGGTCCTCGAATTTTCTGAACAAAAATAGATATTAGCTTTACAAGCTATGAAACACTCCCTTGCAAATGCCCGAAAAAATATATTCCATTCATACCTTAATTGTGAAGTGTCTCGTCCGAACTTTAATAATTTTTTCGTCAACACCTCCTAAACTACGGTAGATCGGTTTCTTTTTAATGAGTTCATGCTCGGAGAAAATAGCACGACGGCTTGGGGTCGGAATAAGAAAAAAAAGTTGTTTACGTAAAATCTTAAATTGTTGTTGTACAACCGAAGAATTAATAAATACCTCGTGAATGCAATCTGAGTAACGTATGAATCACTTTTTTTAATAAATTAATTTTATAATGATATAAGCACAGTAAAAAAAAAGTTTGTATAATGATATAAGCATAGTAAAAAAAAAGTTTATAAATATAGACTTTCTTTATACTATGTTTATATCATTATATTATATTTCGTGTCACCAATTAAGAGTTTATAAAGATCATTTTACAATTAATCACGATGTATTCAGAAAAGTATATATATACCTATATCTCTAAATACTTTCCTTTCTAGCTTCCTTTCTCTAAAATATATTTTATCACTTACAGCACTTACAGCACTTACAGAAACACAATGATAGCTTCAGTAAATTGTTTAATTCTAGGAGAAGCTTCTGATAATAATTTCAACGTTGTCGTTGGCGAAGTATACACCAATGATGATAAAATTGATGTCGCCTTTGATCAATTTACTGTTTCAAACTTCAAAGAGCTTCTCTATCGTAGGAAAAAAGTAAAAAGGGTAGTTCAAGATCCTGACAGTATGTATCTTTATAAAGTTGAAGTTGAACTTTCGAGCATTATAAATAAAATTTATACAAAAGATGAAATTAAAGATCTTGGCGCGAAGATGCAACCTGGGATTGAATTTAAAGAATATTTCGATAATGACAAAAAAAACCAAAGCGAAGATGCCTTCATATCTTCATAGTCCCTGCCATTGTAGCCCCCGCCACTGGTAAGTGTTTCCCTCTCGAACAAGAAATTTGCAGTTATCACTCGTTGTCATATTCGTTTTCTCACTATCATCATTTTTTTTTTTCAAAACCAATTAGATCTTGAAAGAAAAAGAAAAGCGGGTAAGAATGCGTCATTGTTATAGTTGCATTACCAGTTTGTTCTGTCATTTACCAATAATGTTTCTTCTCTACATTCATAGTCCAAGACGTCGGTGGTGAAGTTCTTAGAAAACTTATAAAGAGAACTAGGCTGACAATTCCAGAAATTGGATCTCTTTCAGAACTCCTTGATGGGGAACTCTCCGAAGATATTAAGATACCTATCTCCCAAAATGAAATTGATTTGTTACAATCAAAAAATGTCACAGTTCTCTGCAGTCTAGATGATCTTAGAGTCTTATTCCGAGTTAGTGATACTGAAAGCGCCACCGATTTCTGTATTCGTGCGATATTCTCACCTATCTTAAACGATAAAATTCCTCCAGATGATGGAACCGAATATTCCTTTGTTGGATTATGGGACAATTGCATTAGAAACCTTTTGGAATATCTCATTCCCGACGGTGTATCTATTCGAAATTGTAGTAAATTTTCGAGTACAAGAGATGATCGACCTGACTATGGTCTAATCCTTAATAATGTTTGCCTATTTAGGGGAGAGGAAAAATCACCTACCAGCACTGAGGATCCAAAATCAGAACTTGGGAGAAAATTTTTATGGACCTATGATCCAGCTCCGTATGTCTTAGGTAAGATCTCGTGTCTGTTTCAAGACGTGCTACATACTAAACGTGATTTGCAATCACAGGTTACTATACCCATGGACCTCAAGTAACGTTCGTTGCTATTTGCCGACCTGTAGGGGGTTATGCTATACCAGATGTTGTTGACATCGTGCAATCAAACTTAAAGTTCAGGAGTGAACGTGTCCGTCATCTGCTAAGAATAATCAATTTAAGCTGTATTATTAATGCGCTTCAGCCAGTGATTGGAAGACGTGGAATACCCGAGTTCAAACCAGTATATAGGTGAGATAAGGGATCTACTTCTTTCAAAATATCTTATCGTTTTTTTTATCCATTATGTTGCAGAAATGATCGTATGATCGAAATACGTGGCACAGGTGTAAAAAAGACCTATCTTTTCGGAAATATCCAAACTCGCGTTCAAAAGCTCGTTAATCTTTATGAAAAATTGGTTAGGAAAGAAGTACCTAATATTGATCATCTTGATTGTTACAAAAAAGAAAGCGGTTCAGTGCATCTTTCTCCAAAAGGATTACAAGTTGTACCAAATAATCAGCAGGAATTGTTTGAAGCTATTATCTGTGTTCTGGAGGCACTTGTGGTAAGTATGTTAGCAATTTTTAGATAGATACATTATTTATTCTTTTATAATATCTACAGGTTTTACATGATGATAATGATATATATCATCGGGATATCCGGTGGGATAATATTATTCGACGATATGATGATCCATCAAAATGGTTTCTTATAGATTGGGATGATGCCACTGAATATCCAAATAGTACAGCGATGCATCTTACTACCGAGGAACATGCTCCGGAAGTATTCACTAGAAATCATCGTGGTGAAGTAATTAAGAATGCAAGCACTTGGATCACTAATCTTTCAGAAAAAATCACTGAATTCGGGGATCTTTTGCTAAGTCAAGATAGTACAAAGAGGCCATCTGCTAAGAAGGCTCTGAAAAAATTTAAAAAGATTAAAAAGAAAATTCTTGAAGAGCAAGTGAGATAAAATAGACATTTCATAAACTAGAAAGGTTTTGCTTAGCAGAAATGCAATACAAATTTGTCTCTGTGTAAAGTTTTTTATATATTTAAACTTCACAATCACTCACGAAATGTAATATAATTTTCATAAAAAATAAATCTGTTGCAATACATGATTTAACATACAGTGTGATTAAAAAATTAAAGTCGAATTAAGAAACTTTTATTATAAATAAAAGTAATAATAATGGTAAAGAAGCAAGTGAAATGTATAATGGTATCAAGGAGAGGGGCCATTTAATGCAAGTCCCGGCAACATATTATTTCATTGCTCGTACATTTATGGTTCATTCATTCGGAAAAACAAACAATTAGCTTATTAAACATGCATTCGCATAGGTGTAACC